AGAAGTAACAAGGTCAATGCGACATGTGTCGTCTCATAAGGTCATTTGATGTAGCAATTCTTTTCAAATGTACTCTTTGTGCATGCAACCTTTTGGCATTCTAAAGCTGTTCTATATATTGTTAAAAATTCTGTTTACGTCACTCAAGCTGTTATACATATAACGCTATCTATATGTTGTATTTGTAAACAGCAGGTTTGTGTTTGAGCCAACGTTTCAACAAGCAGACCGGTCTTCTTGAAAGCTTCAAAATGCAGGTTTGCTTTTTAAGAAGACAAGTGCGCTTGTCACAACATTGGCTAAAGCACACAGCCCTTGTTTACACACTTTCATAGTAAGCTTCCATCTTCCCTTTCTGCATTCATTTCAGATACATGTTATAGATGTGTGTTATAGCAGAGGTGCATTAATCTTGTGAACAGTATATTTTCATTGGTTTCATCATACTCCTCCTTCCCCATTATTTTTTTTTTCAGACTGTTTCCATAGCAGGGCTTATTGTGAACCTGATTGGAATCCTTGCCTTTCGTCACACTCACTCGCACAGCCATGGGGCTAGCCATAGCCATAGTCACAGTCATGGACATAGTCATACGGGTGCCAACACAAATTTGCAAGGTGAGATGCATCACTTCGTACATTTTTTCCTTTTGCGATATGCTGGCTTTTTTTTTTCTCCACTTATGACCACAGTACTGAGTACACATGTTTGGGCAAGATTTGTGACAGATTCTCTATGATTTTGTGGCGTCGTCACATCCATTCTGCAGGCCACACTTCTCGTGCAGCTCGTGCCTAATCCTCAAGGCACGAGCCAGAGTAGAACGCGCATATGCGCCTGGCGGTCTGAACCCCTGCAGCCGCCACCTGTCTGCTTAGTTTTGCAATAAAGCGGCAAGACAACAGCATGGCCTTGTCGGCCGCCTTCACATTATGTCACGTCTTTCGTCATGTCGCAACACTTAGAACCATTGAACAGGTTCTGCTACACTTTTTCATTATGGTCAGAAAACACTGCTGATTGGTTGTTGGTGCTTCTAAGAACTTGAGAGCCAAATATTGCAGGACTGTGGGTGGCCTGGGATTTACAATAGATTCTCAAAGTCAACTAGAAATCTTTCTTATCTTGACAAATGAGGCCATAAACCCAAGGTTCGCAGCCATTTGCTGATTTGAGCATCATGAGTTATGTAGTTACCGTGGCTTGTATGCACTTGCAATCACGCTATAAGGAAGCAGCGCATTTAAAGAAAGAAAGAAAAAAAAGCTAAAGTTCATCATCTTGCCCCCTCCTCCCCTCCTTTCCTTGTGTAGCTTTCGATGTGTTCATTGGTATAAAAGCAGAAAAAGTTGCTTGAAAACTGCGACAAATCTCTGCAACTCCGCTCACACATGACTGATTTTAAAAACTTTTGCTACAGTTATTGTGAGGCAACAAGCTTTTTTTAGCAAGATTGTTTGTTAGCCTAGTTAATACTGGCTTAATGACATATTTTAGCCGCGAAATAGAACATACACAGAGCAAAAGAATACACGGTGGCCCGTCCTGTTGTGTGTTCCTTCACCTTGTGTATGTGCTGTTTCGCGTCTAAAATGTGCCTTTAAGCTTTTTCAGGAAGCCATTCGACAATCGCTTGAAAAAATGTTACAGGGCCCCTTTGAGTCCTGTCATTACCTGTATTTATTTGTCTGTTTGCAGGTGTTTTCCTTCACATCCTAGCTGACACGTTGGGCAGCGTTGGCGTGATAGTATCATCCCTGCTGATTGACCAGTTTGGTCTGCTCGTGGCAGACCCTTTGTGCTCGGTGTTCATTGCCGTGCTCATTTTTGTCAGTGTGCTGCCTCTGCTTAAGCATTCCTCCATGATCTTAGTGCTGAGGACGCCTCTTCAGTTAGAAGGCAAGAAGCTGCCATCCATGCTAAGCAAAGTAAGGAGTGAGCCACTAGTGTTGCATGTTTTACTTGTGTCATCTAGTATTAGCTTTGACTCATTAGGGAGTTTTAGATTTATATTTTTTTTACACAAATGGTTTTCAGCACTCAAAAAAAAAAAACTTCACATACTCAAGCATTTTGTATGCTGGACAGTTCACATGTCCCAGCATTGGGAATGCTAATATTCTCTACTGCAGATTTGTGTTAGTCTGTAGTGTTCAGATGATCCCGACTTCAGTCAAAGCTTTGTTTGTGTGGAATGGAACAAACAGCATTGTTACGAGTGCTGAAGACATATTACGAAAGTCGGGGGTGGTGCATAATATGTGTAGATTGCATCAAAGTGCTACATTTGCAAATTCAGGCACCAAGCTATGCCAGAACTGTAATAATGCCTTAGATTGCCTCGTTTAGACATAATCACATTTTGTAATGAAGTACTTCTGTCAAAGTGGAATAAATTGTTTCTAGTATGACTCGTTTTGTACTGCGAGTGATTTCTACGAGTGATTTTTGAGCATCTTCCGTCATTTGTGGAGAGAAGAGAAAGCAATTTTTAGCTAACTTTGACAATTCATTGTGAATTCCAGGCCGGGCGCTGCGCTATAGTATTTAACTTGCGTGTTGTCGGGAGCCTCTACTACCGATTGGCAGCGTTTCCTGACCATGCTCAAAAAGTCTTGCAGGGCCCCTTTAAGTTCACCATGAAGCTAGAATGATATGTTGGTGCCATAAAAGAAGGGAATAGGAGTTGCATTCTCTAACTGATTCTGCCATTGAATAAAGAAAGATATCTTGCTACGAAAATTGAAGTACATTCTTTATGCCTACATATAGTACAAGTCTCTAGTACATATAGTACAAGTTTTAAGATATCATCCTCGATTGAGAAGGTACCATAATGTAAGCCTTAGACTTTTTTGCATTAGGTTCTGATGAATCGTCGTCTTATTTGCTCTTCAACACAGTCGGAGAATGTCCACAGAATGCCTTTTTGTTTTCTCTTTTTTTGCGATTTCATTATCGCTGGTTGTTTTGAACTCATAAAATATTGCAGGCATGTATTCACAATGCTGCTAACATTTGCATTTTTTGCTATTTTTGACAATAGTAGTTAAGCTTCAGAACAGTGCAGTCTCTATATTATGCATTCTTCCAGCAAAATTATATTCAATCAAAAAGGACAGGTGTCTTTTTCTCTACAAAATAACTTGATAGGTGCGTGCTGCTTCATGTACATTTCCTAGTGCACACTAGATGTTTCTACACAACTCCTGAGCTTGACACCTTTTGCGAAAATTGCATTGCACATATCTCACTGACAGCACTTTAGAATGCGCAGTCTATATTTGGCTGCCAAGCTGGCACAGTAAAAAGGTCATCCCCACCAGGTGTACATCACATACTCACGTAATCACAGATGTGTTTCACTTTATTCCTTTCATTTTGGGTACTCATGTACTTCACTTGGTACTCACGTAGTCACACAAGTGTTTCACATTATATTTACAGGTCTTGAAGATTGAAGGTGTCCTGTCTTATCGCAATGAGCACTTTTGGTACCACACCAGTGATGTGCTGGCTGGGTCCCTGCACGTACAAATCGCCAAGGACGCCAACTCCCAGAAAGTGCTGAGTCAGGTAGCACCACATGCAGTCCTGTTTATCCACATAATTTGATTTGTTTGTTAAAATACTAAGAGAAGAGGCCCCTATGTCAACCAGAGGCTAAAATTTAGTTTGAATGTTGCAGCTGTGCATTAACTCACAATGAGGAAATGGTCATGAGTAGTTTTTGAAATGGTGCTGTTATAGTGCAGCTGCTTGCATTTCACGATTAAAATGCAGTCCTCACTCATTTCACTTTTTCCTCCGGTATGCTTCATTCATTGTCTCATTTCTACTCCTCGCTGGGTGTTCCCTCTCGCTGTGCGAAGAGGATAGGCAGAATGTATGTGTACCTGCAAGCAGACACTGTTTTTTCCTGCCGCTGATGTGAGCAGACTCTGCTGGGGACATCACAACCAACTCTGGGGATAATGAAAGCCCTATAGAGGAGGACAGGATTTGTGTGTGTGTGTGTGTGTGTGTGTGCGTGCATGTGCGCGTGTGTGTGTGGGTAAGTGGGTGTGCATGCTTGCGCGCTCGTTTGCTCAAATATGCACTTGTTTACTAGAAAAGTTCGAAAGTATATCGATTTAGAAGCCCTTTAGGTCACATTACTGGTTAAAAATGCAATTTATAAATCTTTCCCTAACTAAACATCACTTATTCTGCCAGTCCGGTATGCTTCTCATTTATAAGCACAGCGGTAACTTTTGTTGATTTGATTGATTGATATGTGGGGTTCAACGTCCCAAAACCACTATATGATTATGAGAGACGCCGTAGTGGAGGGCTCCGGAAATTTAGACCACCTGGGGTTCTTTAACGTGCACCCAAATCTGAGCACACGGGCCTACAACATTTCCGCCTCCATCGGAAATGCAGCCGCCGCAGCCGGGATTCGAACCCGCGCCCTGCGGGTCAGCAGCCGAGTACCTTAGCCACTAGACCACCGCGGCGGGGCGTGGTAACTTTTGTTATAATGCATCAAGGGCTTATTATTGGGGCTGTGCGAATGCATTTTGTCAAACTTAGCTTGATATAACTTGACAAGTTATTGCTACCAGCTTTGCTTACTGTCATTCATGGTTCTGCAAAATCATAAATAGCAATAAATTTAGGGACGAACTAACAAATCTATCTTCATGTCTTCCTTACTTCTTAAATATGCAAATAAAGCTAATGAACTTGTGTGAACAAAAAAGGGGAAAATAATCATTTCCTTTGTTGATGTTCTTATGCTGCTTCTCACACAGGTGACATCGCTGTTCAAGGAACTGGGCATGCAGCACTTCACTGTTCAAGTAGAAAAGGAAGAGTTCTTCCAGCATATGTCCGGCCTTCGTGCTAGTACAAACTACTACAGCAATGCGCTTCTTAGATCAGCGGCGCATCAGGCCTCCAATGGTGCCTTGTCTTTGTGTATTGTGAAATCGATATAATTCCGTGCAGGGTATCACACATCGCAACTTTCTCAGCGTGTGCCTAATGGACCCTGCTGTATTTCTTGTACAGTGGACTCTTGCATAGTGTACACCTAATAAAATTATGTTGAATTATCGTATCCGAGCTTGGACTTACTAAAATGTGCAGAAAGGCTATTTGCATGGTGCACCCATTTCTGCAGCACATGGTGACTGCTGGTATGCTTAAATGTCATTCTACCTACGTATGATGTGGGTATAAGCATGTAAAAATGTAGATATTGATACAAAGTATCACTACCAGAAAAACAAGGGAAGCGTGGGCATAGAAGGAAGACGACGTTGCCTCCACTGCGATCCCCCTGAGTGGGTACGAGCGATGGCGGTGATCATCATCATTGGACGGTGATCGCGGACTCAGGGCCCATTAAAAACCCCCATTAATTTACCTCGCCTTGTGTAACATTAATTTACCTCGCCTTGTGTAACAATTTGGTGGAGGTGCTGGGTAGGACGAACCCAAAGACGGGAGCTTCACTACCAGCACTTCGTCGCAGCCGCCGCCTCGCCGGACTTCCACCTTCACCGATCGTAATGGCCCAAGAGCAGCCATCCAACGCTTCGAGGCCAACTCCGATGGGTTCCGTGCCGTACTACAGAGTGCCACCAAACTTCGGCGGGACCTCAGGAGAAGACGTCGACGTGTGGCTCAAGAACTACAAGCGGGTGAGCAGAAGCAATGGCTGGGACTCGAACGAACAGCTCAATCATGTCATATTCTCGTTAACTGACACCGCCCTTATGTGGTACGAGAACCACGAGGACATGTTAACGACTTGGGAACGTTTTGTTGAAGAAGTGCAGAAGTGCTTCGGCGATTCGGACGCAAAGAAGAAACGCGCGGAGCAGACATTGTCTCAGAGGGCACAGCTTCCAGCAGAAACATGTACGACATACATTGAAGAAATATTGAAGCTGTGCAAGATCGTCAATGGCAGGATGTCTGAAGAAGACAAGGTTGGACACGTTCTCAAGGGTATAGCCGAAGACGTGTACAATTTCTTAATTGGGAAAGACTGCTTGAGCTCCGTGTCCGACGTGAAGCACTGTCGTACCTTTGAATCCCTCAAGATGCGACGAATTTCTCCGAAATTCGGCCGCCTGTCCAATGTCCCCACTGTGGCTAGTGTTGAAACAGTGCCGCCTAACGACCTTGCTTTGACCATACGGCAGATCGTTAGAGAAGAGCTGCTTCGATGTCAGCAGAGCTATCATCGCCCCAGCGATTTTCAGGATGGGTACGTAAGCGAACCAGAACGTGTGCGAACTCTTGCTTCTCTTCCACCATGGCAACCATCGATAAACGCAACAGACGCTTATGAATATCAAGGCACACGGCAGGCTGGATTCCCCCGTCAACCACCTCCCAACTACGAACGAAGTTTTCGCCCACCTGTTTACCCAACATCGCCTCCCTACAGGGCCCCCGAAGGACGGTACCACTATCCCATGCCTTCCGAGAGGAGTCGTTACTCTGAGCAACAACGTGCCCCTCGACCAAGTCCGGTATGCTACAACTGTGGTGTCCCGGGTCATATCGCACGTTTTTGTGACCACCGCCCATATCAGCGACAGTCTTGGCCTTTGTATCACCAACATTTCGACTATCCGCACTCCACGTCACGGAAACCACGAGCACCTACCGGGTCACGCTACCCCTCGCCGGCCTCTGATCGAAGTTTGACGCCACCTCCAGCTCCCCGTGCTCCACGATCGCCGTCGCCACGGCGACGCGCACGTACACCGCCACCGGAAAACTAGTCGGTGCGGCCAGTGGGGGTGAAGCCGCAAGATCACAGGTGCTATCTACAGATATACCCCCGTCAGCGTTTATGTTGAAGAACAAAGTTCGTGTAGTTGTCGATGGAGTGGCTACTATGGCACTTGTGGATACAGGCGCGACAGTTTCGGTGATGAGTGTAAATTTTAAGAACCTGCTAGGACCAAAAGTGATGTTTTGCCTGAACCGTGGGGTGACATTTCGTGGTGTAAGTGGTGACGTGTTGTGTCCGGTGGGATATTGTACTGTGGACGTGTCGCTGTGTGGCAAGGTGTTTTGCACAGAGTTCGCGGTTATTCCGCGGTCTACACATGACGTTATCTTGGGTATTGACTTCTTGTGTGAGTGTGGGGCAACTGTAGACTGCAGAAGTGGGCATCTTTCTATACACGGTACTTTCCCAACGGCGCTCTTGGAAAATTCTTGTCCGGAGGAATGCATCTTTTTCGTCTCCGTGGATACAGTCGTTCCTGCATTTTCTGCTGTGTGTGTTCCTGTGACATGTTCCAGTAACAACTGTGGCACGTTTGACGCCACGCTCGAACCGATTCCCTCGGCATGCCTGAAAAAGAACATTCTCATTCCCCATTGTATAGTGTCAGTCGTTGATGGACGGGCAGGTGTGTGGACAATGAACAGTTCCATGGAGCCTGCAATTCTGCCAGGCGGCATGAAACTTGCAGTATTTAGACCCGAGTCATGTACGACGCTGGTTGCGCTTGTTGATGCTACAAGCCAAAATGAACATCTAGGCTTAGAAGGTTCAGAAGATGCCCAATTGCTACAAATGGTCAGCAAGTCACTTGACCAAAGCAAACGTCATACCCTGCTCGACGTTCTGTCTAAGCACTCGAAAGTGTTCGATTTTTCTAAATACAGCCAAAGGCCCTTAATCCCAGCGTCCCGGATACGTCATCAGATCCACACCGAATCGGCGCATCCCATTAGGCAGAAACCTTACCGAGTGGCACCATCGGAGCGCAAGATCATCAACGAGCAAGTTCAAGAGATGCTGGAAAAGGGAATAATACAGGAATCGGCGAGTCCGTGGGCTGCTCCCGTCATTCTAGTGAGGAAGAAGGATGGTACGTGGAGATTTTGCGTTGACTACCGCCGACTGAATTCTGTTACCAAGAAAGACGTCTATCCACTGCCGCGCATCGATGACGCTCTAGACTGCCTGCATTCCGCGTCCTACTTTTCATCTGTTGACCTGAGATCAGGTTACTGGCAAATTCCGATGCACGCAGCTGACAAAGAAAAGACGGCATTTGTTACGACCGACGGACTTTACGAGTTCAACGTTATGCCATTCGGATTATGTAATGCTCCTGCGACATTCGAAAGATTTATGGACTCTATATTGCGTGGTTTAAAATGGCATATATGTATGTGTTACCTTGATGATGTCGTAATTTTTGGCCGTACGTTTGAGGAGCACAACACTCGCCTAGACCTCGTGCTCAGCTGCATTGAAAAAGCTGGCCTTGTATTGAATTAAAAAAAGTGCCACTTTGGCGAGCGACAGACATTGGTGTTAGGACATCTCGTCGATAAAGATGGCATTAGACCTGACCCACTAAAGACCGCGGCCGTTGAATTGTTCGAGCGTCCTAAATCTGTGAAACAACTGCGTAGCTTCATCGGGCTCTGCTCGTATTTCCGCCGGTTCGTACCCAAGTTTGCGGATGTGGTTCACCCCCTGACGAGCCTTCTACGCAAGAACACCCTGTTTCAGTGGACCTCCGAGTGTGATGCCGCTTTTCACAAGCTGAAGTGTTTGTTAACTTCGCAGCCAATACTTCGGCACTTCAATCCTTCGTCGCCCACGGAAATTCACACAGATGCAAGTGGCATCGGTATCGGTGCCGTTCTCGTTCAGCGTTCTGGCAAGAAGGAACACGTTGTGGCGTACGCAAGTCGTTCTTTAAGCAAGCCTGAACGCAACTACACAGTGACCGAACAGGAATGCCTAGCGGTAGTCTTTGCCGTGCAACGGTTTCGCTCATACATCTATGGTCGCCCGTTCACTATCGTCACAGATCACCATTCCCTGTGTTGGCTGATCAACCTTCGTGACCCATCCGGCCGCCTCGCACGATGGGCCATTCGTTTGCAAGAACATGTCTTCACCATCTCATACAAGACTGGCCGTCTACACGCTGATGCGGATTGCCTCTCCAGAATGCCGCTACCATCGACAGATTGTGAAGGCGATAACTTTGACCACCTTATCGCTTCGCTGTCGTCTGGCTTTCCCGATGCCGTGACTTTCGCCGCTGAGCAGCGTAATGACCCAAGCTTGAAAGCTCTCTTCCCTGGAGCGAGAAATTCATTAAGCGAAGGCCGATTCTGCGTCCGAAATGGTCTTCTTTATCAGAGAAACTTGTCCACGACGGGCGCCCGCTTTCTGCTGGTTGTTCCTGCGTCCCTCCAAACGTCTGTTCTGCGTCTCACGCATGATGACCCCACCTCTGGCCATCTAGGCACCGCACGAACACTTAGTCGCACGAAAGAGCGGTTCTATTGGCCGAAAATGAGCAAAACAATTCAGAACTACGTGGCCAGCTGTATGCAGTGCCAGAGCCACAAGCGGCCCTCCTCGGGTCCAGTTGGTCACCTGCAACCTGTAAAGCCTCCCGGTTCCCCTTTTGAAAAGGTCGGCATTGATCTGATGGGACCATTTCCACGCTCCTCAAAAGGTAACCGGTGGATAATTGTATGCGCCGACTACCTGACGCGGTACTGCGAGACGGCTGCCTTATGCTCCGCCACGGCAGTCCAGGTTTCGGAGTTCCTGTTGAACTCAGTCATCCTCCGACACGGACCTCCTCGCGTGATAATAAGTGACCGTGGTCAACAATTCACCGCTGATATTGTCGAATCATTACTTCGTTTGTGTGCCTCCAAGTTCCGACACTCAACTGCGTATCATCCGCAAACTAACGGTCTCACCGAGCGCACAAACCGAACGTTGATCAACATGTTGTCAATGTACGTCGCCTCTGACCACAAAAACTGGGATGAAGTATTACCGTTCGTCACGTACGCCTTCAACACGTCGAAACACGAAACGACAGGCTATAGCCCTTTCTATCTGCTCTACGCTCGCTCACCTCGACATACGCTGGACACTATCTTTCCTTTTGTCATCCATGACGATTTAACAATTGCTGAAACCTTGTGTCGTGCGGAAGAGACCCGTCGACTTGCCTGCTTACGTACACTGGCAGCGCAAGAGTCATCCAAAACTCGCTACGACAGTCAACACAGGCATGTAACCTATGCCCCCGGTGATCT